CGGCTCATGTAAAATCAATAATGAAAAAAGGCAAATGACAGCACAGCTTGCAGCAAGCTTGGAGCCACCGCTGCTTCTCTTTTAATTAAAAGACAAAACTGCTGGAGGAAGAGGCTTGTTTTTAATTTTTTTAGACTTTTTTTGTATTTTCCTGGAGGCTGCTAGATAGGTGTTTGTGTGGAGCTTGGAGGCAAACAGAGCAGAAGGGGTTTATGTGGGATAACAAATATTGGGAATATTTATTTAAAGGGCTCCTCCTCAGGGTAGCCGCAGGGCGGCCATTTTGTGGTCCCTGAGGTACAGCGCCTTGGCGCCCTTTCTTCTCACTCCCCATTGGCTGCCTCTACCCTTTACCCGCCTCCTTGGGGAGCGCAGCCAATCACAGGAGCCGATTCCCACTCCCAAGGCTGACAGGGTGGCAGAGTCACCCTCATGACAGCTCCGCCATTTTGTCTGGCCTGTGAAGGGTGACGTGGATGTCCCCACGGCGCCCTCCCTCTCCCTTTACCCCCTCAGAAGCCCCAGGAACCCCTTCCCCTTGGCATGGGGTCCATGTTTGGGGAGCATGGCCACCGCAGGGGACGTCATTTTCACAGGAGAGCCCTGGCGGTGGCCGCGCAGGTAGGCCCCAATGGAGCTGAATTTAAACGTCACCCATCTCTGAGGTCTAATCATAAAAAGAATAAAAAACAAACAAAACAAAACAATCCGCATGACCTACGTGACTTACGAAGCCTAGTCACCGACTGAGCCGACTTTACCGAGACCCTTACGTAACTGAAAGTATTTTCCTCCAAATATTTACAAACAATGGGAAATAAAATAGGATTGTTTTATCATTGATTATGACATTGTAAAGCAGAAAACAACAAAAGTCATGCTTTTTTTAATTCCTAGGTAACATTAGAGGAGACAGACTGCGTGAACACCACGACCAGCCCAGCCCAGGCAGGGCAGCAAAGGTGAGAGATGCTTATGCCAGTCACGCAGGGTCTTTAGGTTTTTTTTTTTTATCCTATGCTCTCATTTCATCTTTGTTACAAAAAAAAATCTTTAATTGTCATAATTCTATAGACAATATTTTAATATAATAATCACATCATTAATATTAGAACTACGTGAAAAATATTCCATTTTAAAGGTGATTTTGTTTGTCAGATCATGATTTAACAAAGCTGAGTTTTTTTTTCCAAAAAATATCTATATAGTTGTTGCTAAATTTCAGTAGAATTTATCAAAAAGCTTTTATTTCTGTTTACTAGTTAAAGTGGAACATCCTGTCATGAAACAGGCCTTTTTGATTTCCCAAAATGATATTTTTTTTGAGATGGCCACGTCAGCTTCCCGCAAAGTAAGTATTAGTGAAGTTTCTTCTGGTAAAATTCTAAAGTTGCCCTTCTCTTGGATTCTGAATGACAATAAATTCCAACAGGTAGGAATTTCCCGGAGAAGTAATATTTTAATTTCAACTATGTGGTACTGTTATGATTAATGATAATTAAAGTCAATTGCCTCTTAGATTTTCTGCACAAATACATATTGCATTAGATGATGCTTGAAGATAGTGTGTGTGTATATATATATGTATATATATATATATATTTGCAGCCACAGACATAGGGGTTCTTATCTCATCCACAAACTTCCCAGCAGTACCCCAGATGAAAAATCAGTTCTGGGTTTCACCCTTTCTTTTTTGAGGGGGAAGTTTATGAGGTTATTTTTACTCAGGCTCTTGGAGCTGACCCTGTGATGTGTTTGTCCCAGCGAGAGCAAGTTCAAAGACACAGCCCCTGCTTTGGGGACAGAAAGGGGAAGACGTGTCAAAGTCCTTTGTGTCTATGTGATTTTGTGCTGCTGTCACAGATAGCTCCGGAATACACAAAAGGTGAGATGTTTTGGTAACTGATTCCAGAGTGTGAGTGGGACAGAATCATGACCCCAGATCTGGCCGGTCTTTTCGATATCTTGTGCCCAGGCTCCAAAGTCCAAATTTTGCACCAAGACATTGAGAAGAAGAAGGAATAAAAATAGTTGTCCTTGTTTTCCCATAGCGTGTGGAAAGGACGATGGTCCCTTAAAAGTCCCCACATTTTCCTCCCAGGAAAGAGAAATTGAAGGACACAAGTGTGTGTGTGTGGTTCCATGTCAAGCACTGCAGCTCCTTTTGACTTCACATTCTTTCCCCTTATTTCTAATTAACATGTTGAGAAGTTTTAAAATGTAATAAACATTATTTCTAAACAACCAGAAAGTAAAGCTTGCTTATTTCTGGTTTGATGTAAACATTTATAGCACAGCTCCATCCTTAAACAGTTAATCTTATAGTGACCTATTAAAATAAAATGAATTGTGTTATAATTCATCCTAAAGCAACCTCAGGGTTAGTGTATCAGGTAACCCCTGCTTTTGCAGTGCTCATGACGTTTTTAATCAAATTCAGCTGTAATTGCTGGAGCATACACATGCCTCTTTTAATACTCTGCCTACATTTGGGGCTCATATGAGTCTGTTTTCTCTTAACGTCTCTAATAAATAGAAAACATGAAAAGAGCACATTTTGCAGGACTCCGAGCTTTCCCCCCGTTTCATTTGTTCTAGCAATTGTCCGAGGGGCTTATGAGAAGTGAGCACTTGTCAGCTTCCCCCCTCGCCTGGATAAAATTCCTTGTGGGTTTTAAGTCCCTGTTTGTGTTGCTAGCACCCTGTTAAAGGGGGCTCGGGCACGGAAGGGCGCTGGAAACGTGTGTGTGTGCGACGGGGAGGGATTTCATAGGCACCTTTAAAAACTCAGCGCCCGCCAGGAACGCTGAAATGTTGCGTACACTCAAGTCACCTACGGTTTGTTGACCAGGACGTGAAATGTCACGTCTGCGACGGAGCTATTCGGATAAACAAAACTCCTGTAACTTTCCCTGCTCTGGGGCAGGGGGTTTTTTTGCCTTGTCTTCAGCACCGCAGCTGTTTCCAATTTGCCGGCAATTTTCTTTTGGGCTAGTAAAGCTCCCAAGATGACTGCAACTGGCCACATGGGCTTCTCCACTCAACTGGGGGGTTTCATTACAAGAGGTAGCGAAGGCGGCTCCGGATCCAAGGGGAAGCATTTTCCCTGTGCTTCCAAGCTCTTTACGCCCTAACTTTTTTGTTAACACCGGCCTTTAAAGTTTATTTCAGTGGAACTTATTAGGTGTGTGCACGCTGGGGTCCCCTGTTATATCTCTGCTGGAAGTAAGCTAAAATTTGGGGCACCTTTGCCTATATATATATTTATTTAATAAGGAGTAAGCGATGGCGAAATGCACGGGAAGGGATGCAAATTTTGCCAGCAGAACCTCAACAAAACCAGCAAAACAGGAAAAAAAAAAGCTTTTCCTAACAAAATAGTGAGTTCCCCTTCAACTGCGTGTTCTGTGTAATTCACACGTGGAAACGTGAGAAAAGGATGAAAAATGACTTTGAAATGTGATCTGCTGCCGTCGCTAGTTAGCCCGGCTCTGGGCGTGCGGGAGGGAGGCGTCGCCGTCCCCACCGAATAACGAGATCAGGGCTTGGAAACGGCAGCCTTAACCAGGCTGCGTGCGATCCTTAAAGCCCTTTAAGGACCAAAATGATGGTTTTTGACTAATTTTTACTTCTCCGACCGGTATTTTCGATGGCCGCTCCCCCGAGCGATTCGCAAGCACCCCCTATCATTTGAGCTCTCATTTTTCCCCTCGGTTTTGTTTCCCGAGATCTTCCCCCGAAAATCCCTGCCGCTTACCTGCTCCAGGAACCTCTCCCTTCCCACCAAAAACAACAATAATAACGAGGAATCCGAAGAATTTCTATATTAAAAAAAAGGGGGGGTGGCTCTGGCGAGGTCCCTGGTCACTCGGTCCAGGGCTGAGTGTGTTTTCCTTGGAAATTGGGAGGAATGCTAAACGCCTCGTCTACCCGCGAGTAAATTGTGCTCGGAGCTCTAGGCACGGCTCCCAGGTTGCCCTTTCACCCCTTCACTTTATATGTTCCTCTTATTAAGGAGAAAAATGTTTCAATATGTTGGAATTTGGGGCAAAGCCGGGAAAGGGAGAAACAGAACGGAGAGTGGAAGGACATTTTCCGAATAGTTTTGGTAACCCTTCGGAGGGTTACGTTTGAAAAGCGATGTTTTACTGAAATGCGTGGCTTTCCCCAGGAAAATGCCAAAAAAAAAAAAAAAAACACTGCTGCAGTTCTCAGACTCTTCTTCTGAGATGGCAGTGTGCGCCAGAAATGTGAATTTTGGGGGAAAAAAATATCCCGGGATTGAAGATGTCATTTTCTTCCCCTCCCTAAACGTGTTACTATCTGGTAGGGTGTTATTAAATAGCCACAAGGATCTGGAGGGTTTGGCTGGCTGCGTTTTGGGTGCAATGGTGAATAGTTTGGGGATGGTTTCATCTCGCTTTCCGAGCGCAGCGCAGAGCTCCGTGGGATATTCGCACTCCTGCTTCAGGGGGGGGCAACGGGTTAAGTATTTTCAAGATATATATATAAAAAAAGACCCCCGCAAAAAGCCCAAAGTAAGGAATGATGATTTAAAAACGGATATTTGAAACTTCCTTACTTAAAAAGGGGGATTTAAAGTAGCACTTGAGCTCCACTCAGCGTCTCTTTTCGGCTTCACTCCTCCACGGGATTTTTTTTTTTTTTTTTGGTAAGAAAGTTGTGACTTTCGTTGTCGTCGCCGCTCTTTAAAGTCGCGAGCAGCGCGAGCGCCGCGTGTCCCTGAGCCCCGAGCCGCCCGCAGGGGGGGAATATCGATAAGGACAAACCGGGAATCGAATGAAAAGCGGAGGACACGGGAGCGGGGGAAGGCAGAGCCCGTCCCGCAGGAACCGCCTGCCCGGGCTGGGAATTGCAGCCTCAGCGCCGCTTTGGACCCGACACGTTGAGTCTCTCCCTTGCAAAACCGCAGGGCAGCAGCCCAGAACCGGCGGGGAGTTCGTTTTTGTTATTATTTCGATTTCGCTCTCAATCTGGATCTTTACGAGCCGGCCTGCCACTGGTTGAGGGGAAAGGGTATAAAAGGTGAGTCCTTTAAAATGATAGTCGCAATCGTGAGAGTAAGCAAGAGGTGCATCGGAAAGCGGCTTAAGAGGCCCTTTTATGTCTCGCCCGCGCGATGTGATGGATAAATAATCCACAGCAGGCGTTTGCAGACTGACTCCACGTATGCAGATGTATTTATTTATATGAACATGTGTAATTATAGGGAGAGGGGAGGGTAATCAGGGGCAAAGAGGGGAGCAGAGGAAACCGCTATGTGAATCCTTGACCCTATAGAAAATTTACTGGCTAAGGAAAATCACCCTGTCCCTCCACGCCGGCTGCCCCCACCCCCCGTCGCAAGTTCAGGAGCGAAGGAAACTGGAATGCGTTAGCAGGGAGGAATCCAAGGAAAGGGAAAATCGTGCTTATCAGAAACACATTGCCCGGTTTATACGCGGCTGCCCTTCTGTGCCAGCTGGCCGCCTAATAAATGCTCGAAAAAAATCAATAAAAATGGGGGCTTACGTGCAGATAGAGAACTTAGATTTTATTTTCCAGAGTTGTTGGGTTTTATTTTTCCCCTTTTCTTTATTTATTTGTAGCCAGGGGTATTGCCCCCGCTTAAGCATCGCGCCCGACTCTTCACGCCTCTGGCTTTGTAATACAGCTTCCAAGCGGGGTTTTCTTCCCGCTCCAGGCTCTGGATGAATCCCTGGCTCTGCCTTCCCACCCCGGGAAAACGGGAGCGCCGGGATCGCTGCACTTACCAAGACGGGGGCTCATGCCTCTTAACGAGGGACTAATTACTAATTACATCGCTTTCCGAGGGGCTAAAGATCCCGAGAGGAGCAGATAGGGAAAAAATAGAGAGCTGTGAGATATTTTTGATATTTTAGCGGCTACGCGTTTCTTTTCCCACACACCATTACGTTTTTCAGGACCGTTGTTAATCTCTGCAGAGCTGCCGAGGGGAAAGGGGGTGGCACAAAAAATACCCTGTTCCTGAGGAGATCGTCAAGTCTTAGAAGTGCAGAAAAACAGATGCACCGCAGCGAAAGGAGTCCAAGATAAAGCACTGCTCTGTTTGGCAAAGTTAGGGCACTATCCCAAACAGAAAGGCTGAGATTGGCAACGCTGGGGTTTCTTATTGCTATTTGGAATGATATTTCTGTTCGCTATTGGTATTATTATTGTTTAATTATTATTGCTTAAAAAAGGTTCTTTAAATCAACAAGGGCCAGCAGGCGGATGGCTCGTGTGGTTCCAATGAGTCACCAAAGGCAACTGCCCTCATTTAGCCAAGTGAACCCCTTAGATGCAAGTCAATAGGGTTAACTAGTCTCGACATGAAAACATGAGTGTTTCTGCTCCCTTTTAATTGTTGGCCAAGAAATTCAGTTAATCATATGTCAAACATTTCCTTCAGCTCTGGTCAAAAGTGAAAAAGGCTCTTTCCTGGGAAGGGAACCCCCAAAACAACAGCAAAAAAAATCTTTCCTTGGAAGGGAACCCCCCAAAAAAACACCAAAAAAAAGTTGTTAATAATATACAAAAAAAAAAAAATCCTAGTTATGATGTCCTGTCTGTCACTTGGCATTTAATTATTGTGGTGGATGTTTTTCTATGTCATTTCTTTAAAGTGTACACTCAAATGCTTGATCACTTCTCATTAAGCTTTGTCACTAACATTTTTAAACAGTGCTTGGTGGATTTTTTCACTCTTGTGTATATACACTTATGAGTTGATTTATTTATTTATTTATTTATTATTTTATTTCAGGTCAATTTTAGGACCTTTTAAAGATATCAGTTAAACAAGTAAGGATGTTCCAGACTGTTCCGGACACTTCGTCTTACGTCAAGGTAAGACATGACAGCATCTTTAAACAGGTAATGTCCACAATTACAATCCTCCCAAACTCACAGTCCTACCTGAAAATCTCATTCCCATTCTCACTGAATTTAGCAGAAAAATGTCATTTAATTTCACGGGGAGCTGGGCTAGAATCTGAAGTATCTCACTGGTAGTTCTGGGCTGAGTCAAAATTTGAATCATCAGGGAGCAGCAGTATGTTAGAGGGCTCTTGGTTTTTATAGAACATTGGTGCTTGGTTTGGTAGATTATACTATAAGTAATATTATAGTGAGAGTGTCCTGACTTACATTATAGTAGTGGTTTCCTAGGCTGAAACCAATATGATAGTGGTGGTGTGCTACCAGCATTATATCATAGTGGTTTCCTAAATTGGTTTCCAATTTTCTGATTTCCTAGATACCGTTTAGTCTTAAACCAAGACGAAATTTCATTTAATATCCCCCTAGCTCGCTGCTGAGCCAGCCACCAAATTCAATATACAAGATGTTGCGTATAGTTCTGTTTTCAGCAGGTACATTTCAAAGTGGATTTCAAGGCAGAAAAAAAAAGATATTTAATGAATTAAACCAAACTGTCTCTTTCAGTGTCTAAATAAATGAATCGTCACATGAGGTAACAGTGTATAATATTGGGATTTGTGTTATTTAGGGCTTCTCTTGAACAGTTCTTCCATGCACTTCAGCAGCTAGGCTGATTTTTATAAGCTTTACTGATAATGGGTAACACCAGGTACTACTAGATCTTGCACTCTGATAGTTGGTTGAATATCTTTTGATGAAGCAAAAAAATGAATCTTGGAATGTATTTCAATGGTCACTTCTGCCTCCTTTTTCCTGTGATTAAAACAAATTCTGAAAAGGGCTGGCACAGTCTTGTCCCTTTATGGCGCACTGGAGTACTATATTATATTTGACATCATGTAGTTTTTTTCTTTTCCACAACAGTTCCCAAGAATGTAAATAAACCAAGCCCGAGACATCTGGGTTACACGTTTAAGGCAAACTCTGCATGCAACAGCACTTAGGGAAAATCTAAAACACAAGGCTCCCCTCTCCCAGGCTGAAGAAACACAGAAGGGTGTTAACTAGAGCTGGGTGGATAATTTGTAATGAATAATTTATTGCAGGAATTTCGTCTCTTTTTTTCCCTCAGTCATTGATCCACAAGCTGACTGTGATATTCCTGTTACATGCACATTATTGGGAATGATTCACTGGATAATTCTTGGGTATAATCCCCAGGCTGAAGCTCATTTTGCAGGTAGTTGGTTAGGAGTTTTAGTATTTGAAATGCTCTTCGTGGGGCAAGTGCAGGTTATGTGGCTTTACTTGTATTCCCTGATTGGGTGAACTAGCAGCTCCCTGGACCAGTTTGGAGCAAATTCTACTGGAAATTGTCAAATCTGATGTTCAGTTCATGTCTCCCAAAGCACATGCATAGCTCAGTGTTTCAGCGAATGCTGATGATCAGATTTTGTAGCAAAATTCCTTTTGAATTAAGAGGCAGCAAGTTCCAGGCCTAAATAATTTAACATTCACAAAGAGATTGAATAAGTCAAGCCGTAACAGCATCAAAACAGCCCTCTTGTTAAGTAGGATCCTACAGGCAAAGTGCTTGGGCAACGTTTTCATCACATAAATGTGTTTTATCCATCAGGAAGAGCTTCCAAGGACTTATACCCAGCATTTCAGTGGCGGAGAGATAAGTGAGCTGCACGATGCCGAACGCTCTGCCTTTTATTACAACCCTTCATCCTCAGCTGCCGTTATTTGGGGCTAGGACTTGGCCGCCTGGTGTTTTGCCTGGGAAGTCTCATTCACACCAATGTCATTGGGGAAAGGGCTTGTTGCTGTGCTAAAAAAAAAAAAAAAGCAACAGGATTTTGACAGAATTCTCCTAGGAATCGATCCAAAATCCTTTGTAGACAAAGGAAATATCTCCCAAAGGCTTCAAGAATCTTGGCTCTGCCAGGGTGGACGTGGTGGTCCTGTTTTAGACAGCTCCTGCCTTCTCTTGCCCGCTCCCCATGTTCCTCCTCGAGGAAGAAGGTGAAAAAGCAGCAGGTTCCGAGTCCCAGACTCACAAGAGGTCAACGAGGTGTTCCAGGAGGAACAAATTTGCAGTAGAAAAGGGTGCAACTGTGAGACCTCCAGGACCCCCTCACCTTTCTGCTCAGGACAACACGCGAAAGGGGTGAGGACTGAGAGGTTAGGGAAGGAGGAAGAGGAGGCTTTGCCTTTTCAAATGGTTTCTTTTAAGGAGAAGGGTTTGCATTGAGTCCCGTTCAGCCCCTCGCTGCCGTAACCTTGATTTACACTTTGATTTACCTTGATTTGCGCGTAGGACGTATGCAACGGGGTCCTATATAACCACCTGACAGCCCCGCTCCACTCGTACACATTGCTCGCAAGGGCCTTGGCACAACAGAGCGCGAGGAAGTCACAAATATTACAAATTAATCGTCGCCCTCTATTTCACGCAGTTAGCGATGTATTTGTGTCCTTTAAACCGGCGTGGGACGCGCTGCTCTGCGAGTACTCAGTAATTCGCAGTCTATCAGAGGGCGCTAATCTCGTGCAAACACGAGGATTTGACCGGAGAGCGAAACATGTAGCGTAATTGGGAAATGTAATTTTAAAAGACAGCCCTGGGATCCTGCCTGTCGGGATATGGAAAGAATTAGGACCCTGGGCAAAGCAGCGTGACCTCGAAATGCTGGAGTTTTAAGCGTGTGGTTGGGTCAGGGCTTGGAGCGGGCGAGAAGATGGACTCGACTGCTCCAGGAGATGGGAGGAAGGAACCCCCCGTGCAAGCGCCGTTTTCGCCTTAAAAATGGATTTCATGCAGCCCTAATGTTTGTGGGACGGTACAAAGAGGGATATTCATGGAGGTAAAATAGCCTGGGTGGCTGGGAACAATATTTGCGTTGTTCTTGCGCTTGCACTCGGCCGGGAAAGTTTACAGAAGCCCTAAAGAGGGAATTTATTTTTGAGGAACAAACCAGGGAGATTTTCACTGGAGTGGGAAGGCTCCAGCAGCCCCCGACACGGACACGTTCCCGTTCCCGCTCCGCAGCAGCAGCCAGCAGTTTGCCAGGAAAGAGTATTCCATAATTTTAGGGTTTTTGAGGGGTTTTTGGACAGAAATTTCGCAATGCGCATCATGCCCCACGAATCATGCGGGGGAATCAGGGCCGAGGGCTGCGGAGCATCCTGCAGGTGTGCGGGGACACGGTGTCCCCCGGCGCTTTGCCCGTTTCTGTATCTTTTTGGGGCAGTTATCGGCTTCCTGCAGAGTTTCAGCTCCTCGTCCCGGAGCATGGGAGCAGATTATTCCAAGGAAGCCGGGAATCGCAGCGGTTTTGCCCACAGTTCAGCCCAATCCTTGCCCAGGAGCACGAGGGAGAGCAGAAAAAAATGAAGAAAAAAAAAGCGAGAGGGGAAAAATGCTTTAAATCTTTCCCGCAAATATTCACATAGATGGAGTCTGAGGAGCAAATTCAGAGCAGCAGAGAAATTCGGGAGAAATCGGCTGTTCCACTGAAGCGCATCAAGGGGCTCCCCGGTCGTGTTTGGCTAAGGTCAGACGAGACTGGCTTCTCCAATAAAAATAAATCCCAAATTAATTATGGCCTCGAGCGAGGGGCCAGACGTTTGGAGCGAGTGCGCTGCAGCCTGGCTGATTTTGTGGGATTTTATTTTTTTCTTTCAGTATTTTGGCTTTTCCAGAATTGCGGGCTGGGGGAGGGCTCTTTTCCTGGGACATGGAGGGAAAAGCTCCCCGGGCTCCCAGCATCTGCTCCGCTTCCAAAACACGGGATTTTCCCCCAGTGTTCACCATTAGTGAGGAACTTTGTGCCTGCTGCTTCCCGATCCCCGGAGCTGTTCCCAGGGGGGCCTCGATCCCGCGGGAAAACTCCGCCGCTTCCCCCTTTGGCTGAAAAGCGCAAGTTTTACCCCATTAGCTCAGGCTAAACCGGGATACGTTTCTGGGGAGCAACTCCCAAATCCCACCCCAGGTGTCTTTCCAGAGAGGCTCCCGTTCCTAGGGATATCGGAGGCGGCGCGAGGCGCGGCGATGGGCGCCGCGCGCCTCCGACCAAAGGGTTACATAGAAAAAAAAAAAAAAAAAAAAAAAGGAAAACGGGCGAAAAGAGCAGCGGGCGCG